CCCCCCTCCCCCCTCAGGGCCGTCCCTCCAACATCCAGCTTATTAGTAATGGACCAGGTGCCTCTGAAAGTGGTTAGAATAAAGGGAATTTCTGTCAAAGTGGAGTTCTCCGTCATACAAGGGGGTAACCCCCCAAAAAGGGGAGAAAAAACAGTTCACCCAGCGGATCTTTCATGGTATGCATTTTCCCCATTAGGGGCGCATCCAGCAACTTGCTCTAAGTTAGCGCACCCTGTGACGTCACCTGGGAAGCTTCTGTCTGGCCGTGTGAATTTTTTCGTAAAAGCAGTTTCACTCAAACCTCGTTTTTGGTGATGGCTGGTTTAAGAGAATAGCATGCAGCTATGAGATTTTTGTTTACTGCTGGGGAAAGCGAGGGAGGTGCTGTCAGCCATTCACACAAATGAGTTTGAAAAATGTTTCCAAGAATGGAATTGCAGATTTGCCAAATGTATTAAGTATAATGGAGAGTACTTTGTAGGTGATAAGGTGGTTCTGTAAAAAAAAAAATTAAATACATAGCTTTGGGAGAAAAATTCTGTTTGGGGGGAGATACTTCCTTGTATATGAATTGTATATGAATTGTAAACATCTGATGTCGACGTTAGTGGTCTGCTTGATGTGCTGTCACACAACAGACCCGCCTCACTGGGGCGCCATGGGTGGTTATGGAGAACTGCCGTGATGAGTGTGTCAGTGAGCAGCAGCTCACTGCCATCGAGGGCATTCGGATCATAGCAACCCTGCATGCGGTTCCCAAGGCTACAAATCTATGGGAGAACAGAGCTTCACGTGCTCCCTTGAAGCAGCACTGAGTAGGTTTGAACCACTGACCTTGTGGTTAACATTCCAACATTTAGCCGACAGTGTTACCAGGACGCCTTTGGGTATATCAAAATAAAAGTTCAAACTCAATTCCGACTCGCAGTGACCCTGTAGGACCGGGTAGACTTGCCCCTGTGGGTTTCTGAGACTGTCACTCTTTATGGGAGTAGAAAGTGTCTTCTTCCTCCTTCGGGGCGGCTGGTGGTTTTAGACTGCTGACCTGTGTGGTGAGCAGCTCAACACAGTCACTACACTACCAGGACCACCCCCTAAAATCTATAGAGAATCTTTTGATTCTCTTTAAATTAAAGATTTTTAAAAAATAATTTTATTTGGGGCTCATACAACTCTTGTCACAATCCATCCATCCATTGTGTCAAGCACAGCTGTAGATTTGTTGCCATCATCATTCTCAAAACATTTGCTCTCTACTTGAGCCCATGGTATCAGCTCCTCATTTTCCCCCCAACTTTTTTTTAATAATAAAAATGCTTTGATATTTCTGCCTAAAGAATCACTTTGAGTGACAAGTACTGAACAATTATTACTGCTCCTCATGATGGTTTTGGGGTTAGAGTTGCGTTAAAGATAGTGGCATTTGGCCTCTTTTTTTTATATAAAGTTATTCATTGGTTTAGAAAGGTCTTGCTTATACTAACTTTCAGTAGTATAAATTCAGAAATTATAAGTGCTACAGACATACCGGTATGTATGTCTGTGTGTGTGTATATATATAATGCTTTACAGAGACTGACCATCAGCCAGTGCTCTGTTCTTTTCTGTCCTCTACGTATGTACACATTACATAATGTATGTTACACATTCTCTTGCTGTGTATGTTTCCACTGATTTTTAGTTTCTTCTACAAGAGCAAGGAGTGTTGAAAAACCTGGCTGCCCCGTGGTGGACTTCATGATGGGCAGCTGAGGGGACAGCCCCAGCGTGAAAAAATAAGCTTGGCAGGCACGAATGCACACTCACACAGACGTACGTGTGCACTCACTGCCACCACGTCCATGCTGACTCCTAGAGACTATAGGACAGAGTAGACCTGCCCCTGTGGATTTCTGAGACTGTGAGTCTTTCCAGGAGTAGAGACAGCCTCATCTTTCCTCCTGTGGAGCAGCTGGTTGTTTGGAACTGCTAACCTTGAGGCTTGCAGCCCAAACACTTAACCTGCTGCATCACCAGGGCTCCTTAGCTTGGTGCTTGAAAACCATAATCTGCTTTGTAGTTAAGAACTTTGTTCCTCTTTTTATAGACTAAGGAGCACATTTCAGATTTTTTTCCCCTCCAGAGAATTGGGGTAAACCCAATAGAACTCAAACCAAACTAGGCTTTTACTAGCTCATCTCCCTCTGAGTTCAGACAGTTCACTTCCGTTCTCTCATCCACAAAAGCTCATCTTTGCTGTAGCAAATGTTGGGAGTCTTCGTATCTGTTTATGACTCTAACCAACTGCCATTAAGTCACTTCTGACTCATAGCGATCCTATCTAGGGTTTCCGAGGCTGTGAATCTTTCCAGGAGCAGACAGCCTCGTCTTTCTCCTGTGGTATGACTGGTGGGTTTCAACTCCTGACCTGCGATTACCCCACAGTGCTTCCAGGGCTCTTATTATTATTATTTTTTAATACCATGACAGAGACGCATGCAGTTCCTAAGCCAGCTGGAGCTTAAAATTTGATCTCATCTTAAGTGGCCTATACTTGATGTATTTTATTTATTTATTTTGTTTGTTTTAAATCATTTTATTGGGGGCTCATACAACTATTATCACAATCCATACATACATCAGTTTTGTAAAGCACATTTGTACATTCATTGCCATCATCATTCTCAAAACATTTGCTCTCCACTTAAGCCCTTGGCATCAGCTTCACATTTTCCCCCCTCCCTCCC